GGGGGAGGGAGGGCATGGAGGGCATGGAGGGCATGGAGCAGGTTGTTTGGAACTCTGATGTCCTTGATAGGATCTTGCGGGAGTATGTCCGCGACTGAAGCAAGTGATCCAAGGCGCGAGAGAGTCGTTGGGTTGAGAGGCTTGCGATGACTTCACGTACAGACAACGAGGAATCCTTCCTAGGACGCGCTGTCTGCTCTCCGTTGACCTGGGGGGATAGCAAGGCGGCAAGGGCTGTCTTGAAGGTGCGGCAGCGAGAGTTCTGGGCGGGGGAAGGGAAGGAGGGAGCGGGGGGGGGAGGGAAAGGAAGGGAGGGGGGAAAGGAAAGGATACGATTGTCGTTTTACCTCGTTTTTGCTTTCTTAGGAGCATTTCAAGGGGAAGTGGCCTGACTTGGTGATATGTACAGACTGCATCTACAGGTATGGAATCATTCATGATGATGTTTGTTGAGCTTCTTTCCCTCACAATCTCGATTCAGGCAAGGGATCCCTGAAATCTTGATTGCAACTATCAAAGAGGTGCGAAGGCAGTAAGGCGAGAAAGGGTCTCTGTAACAAATCAACGTGACTCCTCGATCTAAGGATTGATCTAACGATCTGCACAGATCTGTGTTGACCATGTACAGTTGTTGTCCTAACCAGGGTTGAAAAGCAATGTTTACCATCGCTAACGATATTGGGAAGATGACTTCTAACCAGCTAGCGATGTTTGTAACGATGTTCCTAACGTGCTCACCGATCTTACTTCTTTCTGAAATCCTTACCAATCTTCCTAACAACAGTTGAGTTCTTGTCTCTAACAACGTTTCTAGCTCCCGTGACCTAACGATCGTCTTGATCTTACCTCACCATCTCTGGAAATCTCTGCAACCTCAATCAGCCTTTATGGGGTTTTGCAATGCACTTTAGTGGTCGCAAGTTTTCCCGTTCTTGTCTTTTCATTCGAGGCTGGTCCTCTTGTCAATCTTACATCTGCCCTCTCGCCGAGTTGTTTTGTTTCGAAGTAAGTCGACTCCGGTCCGAACATTGAGATGATAGCAAACAGCAAACTTCAACTCGAGGCTGCTTGTTTGTACTTAGGGTCAGGAATTTCTTCTCTTCATCCTTGTTGATTTTCCCTGTTTGTTGCAGGTTGTTGGGCCCGACACCGTAATGCTCTGTGCAGCAGCGAACCACAGGTGTGTTGCTATGTTTTCGGATCTTCTTCTCCATTTCCCTCTGTCCATAAAATCAGCAGCATTTGCTTGCATTGTTTCCCACTTTGAATCCTTGAGGACTCTATCAGAACAAGAAGTATCTTAAGTTTGTCTCGTGCTGATGCTGCTTCTCAGACCCGACGTGATCGAGGATTTCCATCACAGGATCGACTCGCTCAAGTCGGAAGCTGGGGGCGAGGAGAGGAGGAGAGCCGGTCTGACTCATCGACCTTGCAGGAGCTTCACTGTGAGTAATCTGCGAGACGAGGAGCTCGACGAGTATGTGAGGTCGACGAGCATCGAGGCGTTCTGGTGAGCATGCTGAGCTCAGGCCTGCTGCTGACGTTGATCACCCGAGGCTCTCGCGGGGAGGAGGAGAACGTCCGAAGAAAGCCAAAAAGGTGAAAGAGAATTGAAGACAGAAGTGGGGAGGAAGGAGGAGGCGGGGAGAGGCAGGAGGAGGAGGAGGTTTGTATATAGAGACGCGTCAAAGTGACTCAAGTCTTCTGCTCTTTCTTTTCCATTCCTGCCTTCATCTTCACTGTTTTTCTCCCCTCCCTCTTGTGCCTCTCCCTCCCCTCTGCGCTCCTCTCCTCCTCTCCTCCTCTCCTCCTCCCCTCTGCGCTCCTCTCCTCCTCTCCTCCTGTCCTTTTTCTCCTCTCCTTCCTCACACTTCGATCTGCATCGCTCCCGACAGCCCCTCGAGCCTCTTTGCCTCGTAAATGAGATCCTCGATGTCGAAGTCACGGGGATACTGCTGGAGCCTTGAAAAAGGATCAGGAGGGATACGGCGAGGAGATGAAGGGAGATAGTGATGGTGGTGATGGAGATAGTGATGGTGGTGATGGAGATAGTGATGGTGGTGATGGAGATAGTGATGGTGGTGATGGAGATGGTTTCGATGATGATTGAAATGAAAGGAAGGAGGAGAAGAAGGGGAAAGTGAAGGAGAACGAGAAGGAGACGGTCATATCGAGGAAGATGATACTAGCACGACCACGATGACTGTGAGTAGCAAAGAAGTGGAGAGGAGAAGAGAGGAGAAGAGAGGAGAGGAGAGGAGAGGAGAGGAGAACTCACCTCTGTAGATTCTCCGCAAAGTCCTCCTCCTGCAGGAGGTCAGCCCGGATCCTGATCACCATGGCGCAGCAGAGGTGGAGGACGAAGGGCATTCGCAGCTCGTCCTCTTGCGCCAGGATGCTGTCCCACAGGCGGAGGACTGGTGACCTTATGAGAGGGGGAGGAGGATAGGACGGGGGCGTTACCGTCAGGAAGGCGAAACTCCTGCGAGAAGAGCAGGCTGGCGGCAAGGGTGAGAAAGACAGAGGAGGAGGAGCTAGGAGGGGGTAGTAGTAGTAGTAGTAGTAGTAGTAGTAGTAGGAGGAGGAGGAGGAGGAGGAGGAGGAGGAGCGAGGAGGAGTAGGAGGTAGGAGGAGAAGGAGGAGGGCAAGCGAGGAGGAGGAGG